TGGCTGGCATCTGCTCAGGAAATAGAAATCCTCCATGTCTTATAGGGTCTTTCCCCTGAATCATTTCTCAAAATAATGCTGCAAAAAATTTTCAATAAACACACAATTGAGTTTAAAGTTCCTTTTCAACCTTCAAGTTTATTAATCTCTTACTGATTAAGCTAATGGCATCCATATTTCTGGAATGTCATTTTCAGGCAGTTTATATCAAAGTGTATAAAGACAGTTTACAGCAAAAATTTAACATGTGACTCCATACCACAAAGTTTACATTGCTCCGTTTTAAAAGTTCTGGGGCAGTGAGGTGAACAGAAAATGGTAGAATAATTACTACAGAGAACAGAAGAGTCCACAGCATATAGATTTAGCACAAAGTTCACTGCCTGTGTATTTAAGGATTATGGTAATCACTTTCTAAGCTGTGCTATAATCTATTATCCAGAACCAGGATCCATCCACTTAATATTCATGAAAATAGTCCCTAACGAAGTTCAAGATTACAATTACATTGCTATTATTACTGTAATGTATTACATTATAAAAACACTAAGGCTTTATAGTTATTAGCCTGCCAAAATTATAATAATGCTTTTAACAAACATGATACCCTAACTATTCTTTCTAATACTCTTCCATAATTTGGAGGAAAGCAACTTTTAGATGTCATTAACAATATCTGTTCAGAGCTGTCAAGTCAGTGTCCCCATTTTATTATTAAATGAAAGCATACATAATGCAGGGATAAAATTCCTTTTCTACTAGAAGGCAAACCTAACATACCAATGAATCTTAGATTGGCACCTGATTGAAAGAACAGTGCTCCCTGAGGATTCAATTGAGAATAAAGGCAGAATGTCTTATCTTTAGTTGTCACTCAACAGAACTCCACTTTCCTCTGGATAAGTCACTGGTAGTCTACATCATCCTTAGTTAGGGTGGCTAGTAAAACAGAAGAAGGGGGTGGCAGGGGGCGAATATGACTCTCCCCCTTGTGAGAGAAATGAGAGCAAGGTTGCCTGGCATATCTTTAAGGCAAGGAATAAAATTAAAAGGCACCCTCAGTAGATACAAGTGGGCATAGAGTGAAAGTAACGGATAGAATTTCCAAAAGACTGGCTCAATCTGGCCCTTAAGAATCTGGACAAGCTCATTTCAGTCGCTCAATCATTTCCGACTCTTTGCGACCCCATGGACTGTAGAATGCCAGGCTTCCCTGTCCATCACCAACACCTTATTTAAACTCATGTTCATCGAGTCGGTGATGCCATCCAACCATCTCATCCTCTTGTCATTCCCTTCTCCTACCTGCCTTCAATCTTTCCCAGCATCAAGGTCTTTTCAAATGAACTAGCTCTTCACATCATGTGGACAAAGTATTGGAGTTGCAGCTTCAACATCAGTCCTTCCAATGAATACTTAGGACTGATTTCCTTTAGAATGGACTGGTTGGATCTCCTTGAAGTCCAAGGGACTCTCAAGAGTCTTCTCCAACTGCGCAGTTCAAAAACATCAATTCTTCTGCGTTCAGCTTTCTTTACAGTCCAACTCTCACATCTATACATGACTACTGGAAAAACTATAGCTTTGACTAGACAGACCTTTGTTGGCAAAGTAATCCCTCTGCTTTTTAATATGTTGTCTAGGTTGGTCATAGCTTTGCTTCCAAGGTGCAAGCATCTTTTAATTTCATGGCTGAAGTCATCATCTGCAGTGATTTTGGAGCCCAAAAAAATAAAGTCTGTCACTGTTTCCATTGTTTCCCCATCTATTGCCATGAAGTGATGGGGACCAGATGCCATGATCTTAGTTTTTTGAACGTTGAGTTTTAAGCCCAGCTTTTTCACTCTCCTTTCTCACTTTCATCTAGAGGCTCTCTAGTTCTCCTTCTCTTTCTGCCATAAGGGTGGTATCATCTGCATGTCTGAGGTTATTGATATTCTCCCAGCAATCTTGATTCCAGCTTGTGCTTCATCCAGCCCAGGATTTCTCATGATATACTCTGCATATAAGTTAAAGAGGCAAGGTAACAATATACAACCTTGATGTACTCTTTCCTGATTTGGAACCAGTCTATTGTTGCATTCCACTTCTAACTGTTGCTTCTTGACCTGCATACAGATTTCTCAGGAGGCGGGTCAGGTGGTCTGGTATTCCCATTCCTTTCAAAATTTTCCATAGTTTATTGTGATCCACAAAGTCAAGGGCTTTGGTATAGTCAATAAAGCAGAAGTAGATGTTTTTCTGGAACTCTTGCTTTTTTGATGATTCAGTGGGTATTGGTTAATTTGATCTCTGGTTCTCTGCCTTTTCTAAATCTAGTTTGAACATCTGGAACTTCATGGTCCACATACTATTGAAGCCTAGCTTGGAGAATTTTGAGCATTACTTTGCTAGTGTGTGAGATGAATTCAATTGTGTGGTAGTTTGAACACTCTTTGGCATTGCTGTTCTTTGGGATTGGAATGAAAAGTGACCTTTTCCTGTAGCCACTGCTGAGTTTTCAAAATTTCCTGGCATGTTGAGTGCAACATTTTAACAGCCTCATCTTTTAGGATTTGAAATTGCTCAGCTGGAATTCCATCACCTCCACCAACTTTGTTTGTAGTGATGCTTCCTAAGGCACAAATAACTTCGCATTCCAGGATATCTGGTTCTAGGTGAGTGGTCACACCATCATGGTGATCTGGGTCATGAAGATCTTTTTTGTATTGTTTTTCTGTGTATTCTTGCCACCTCTTCTTAATATCGTCTGCTTCTGTTAGATCCATACCATTTCTGTCCTTTATTGAGCTCATCTTTGCATGAAATGTTCCCTTGGTATCTCTAATTTTCTTGAAGAGATCTCTAGACTTTCCCATTCTATTGTTTTCCTCTGTTTCTTTCCACTGAACACTAAGGAAAGCTTTCTTATCTCTCCTTGCTGTTCTTTGGAACTCTGCGTTCAAATGGGTGTATCTTTCCTTTTCTCCTTTGATTTTCGCTTCTCTTCTTTTCTCAGCTATTTGTAAAGGTCTCCTCAGACAACCATTTTGCCTCTTTGCATTTCTTTTCCTTGGGGGTGGTCTTGATCACTGCCTCCTGTACAATGTCATGAAACTCCAACCATAGTTCTTCAGGCACTCTGTCTATCAGATCTAATCCCTTGAATCTCTTTCTCACTTCCACTGTTTAATCATAAGGGATTTCATTTAGTTCATACCTGAATGGTCTAGTGGTTTTCCCTACTTTCTTCAATTTAAGTCTGAATTTGGCAATAAGGAGTTCATGATCTGAGCCACAGACAGTTCCCAGTCTTGTTTTTGCTGACTGTATAGAGTTTCTCCATCTTTGGCTGCAAAAAATATAATCAATCTGATTCTGGTATTGACCATCTGGTGATGTCCATGTGTGGAGTCTTCTCTTGTGTTGTTGGAAGAGGGTGTTTGCTATGACCAGTGTGTTCTCTTGGAAAAATCTGTTTGCCTTTGCCCCACTTTGTTTTGTACTCCAAGGCCAAATTTGCCTGTTACTCCAGGTATCTCTTGATTTCCTACTTTTGCATTCCAGTCCCCTATAATGAAAAGGACATCTTTTGTGGGTGTGTTAGTTCTAGAAGGTCTTATAGGTCTTCACAGAACCGTTTAACTTCAGCTTCTTCAGCATTACTAGTCCGGACATAGACTTGGATTATTGTGATATTAAATGGTTTGCCTTGGAAATGAACACAGATCATTCTGTGTTTTTGAGATTGCATGCAAGTACTGCATTTCAGAGTCTTTTGTTGACTGGGATGGCCACTCCACTTCTTCTAAGGGATTCTTGCCCATAGTAGAAGATATAATGGTAGATGGACAGGTAATGAGAACCTACTATATAGCACAGGGAACTCTACTCAATCTCTGTGGTGACCTAAATGGGAAGGCAATCCAAAAGAGAGGGGCTATATGTATACCTATAGCTGATTCACTTTGCAATACAGCAGGAACTAACACAAATTGTAAAGCAACTATATTCCAATTTTAATTAATTTTTAAAAATTAATTTTTAAAAGTTAATTAAAACAGCAGCTAAAACTGTTTTAAAAAGTGAGAGAAGAAGAAGACGGACAAGGTCAAGGGAGGCACAACTGGATGAGGGCAGTCAAAAGGTACAAACTTCTAATTATAAGATAAGTACTAGAAATGTAATAAATAACATGATAAATATAATTAACACTGCTGTGTGTTATATGTGAAAGCTGTTAAAAGAGTAAATTCTAAGAATTTTCATCATAAGGGGAGATGTTTTTCTATTTATTTTCGTATGTGTATGAGATAATGGATGTTCACTAAACCTACTGTGACAATCATTTCATGATGCAAGTCAAATCATTATGCTGAACAGCTTAAACTTATAACATGTTGTACATCAAGTGCATCTCAATAAAACTAGAAGAACAAAGATGGACAAAGTCTTAAAAAAAACATATTTCAAGTTCTAGTAAAGTATGCTTAATTTTACTAGTCTTAGAAGGCATACAATATTATGCCTGTCCAGTCACCTGGAAATATTCACCTTCGTACTTCAAGCACTCTCACGCCCAGGGGAGGGGGATTTAACACAAATGTTTCATGAAATGACATGGCAACATGAAAAGTACCCATAAAACATCCTAGAGCCCAAGATCCAGTATCAGTACTTCTCAGAATTTATCTCAATGGTACAACTAAAGGAAATAAAAATTTTATTGACACAGTGATGTTAAGTACATTATATAAAGGAGAAAAAAACTGGAAATAACTAAAATATGTTAAGTGCAATCAGCTGACAAAAAACAAAGCAGCAAACTAAAATAATCATGATGATTATGCAATAAGGAAAAATTCTGCATACAATGTGAAAAAAATTAAAATTACTCAATGAGAAAAATACTTAGAAGCCAATAACTCAAAAAGAATAAAATTAACATAGTGACATTCTACACTGTAAAAATACCTCAGAAACAAAGAAGCTGTCATCTAGATAACAGATAGCAAGTTTACCTTGAGCTAGTCTTTCCAGTCGTTTTCCATGTTCCGGGGGTATTGCATACCTAAAATTTTAAACACAAATAACAACTTTAGGTTTGTAATTGTTCAGTTTGTATCCTAAGGATGTCTATTTCTAAATAATTTCATGCAAAAAAAAAGTCAACCCCAAACTCCACATAGATTAACTAAGCAGATATTAGAGAATCAAACATAGAGTTGTAACTCTTGAACACTAATCAGAGGAAAAATAAACTTCAGTCATCTATTTCAATGCCCCAGATCACCATTCCAACCACATTTTACACATTAGGGAACAAAGGCCCCAAGCCAGCAAACTGCTTGGACAACGTGGCACTTGGCCACAACATGGAGATTAGAACCTCCCTTGTAACACTCACAACACCATAGCAATCCAGGGCTATTTTGGGTTTTATGTTTTTTGTTTCAAAGTTGATTAGTTGGGCCTTTGTTTTTAAGCAGAGTTCTTTTTTTAAAACCTTGTTTAAAAAATTAAAAGAAAAAACAACTTAAAAATTTACTGATAAGCAGGATAGGAAATAAAACTATTACAGCAATGTTTGTATCTCCACCAAACCTTTCTAAGAATATTGCACTTTTCAAATAGTTTTTAAATAAAAGTACACCAGCCGTAAAAAGGTTACTTTAATTTATTTCACAATTATGTGACTTTTAAAATCTTGATATATAGAAAAAGAATCGTTGCGAATTCCCTGGCAGTCCAGCGGTTAGGACTCGGCGCTCACACTGCCAGAGTCCAAGTAGGATCCCTGTTTGAAAAACAGAATTGTACATCCTTGGAGAACAGAAATTCTTCAAGTAGTACTCATTTCTAGTTTGGTGTTTTAAAAAGTTAAATACTTGAATTTGTTTACTGTGAATTTACTAACAAATTTTAAAATAATAATTTTAAGTTAAATGATCATTTCATGTTTTAAATAAAAATATGTTATTCCTCAGACCTACATTTGCTGTTTACTAGCTCAAGATATATTAAGTACAAGCTAGGTTTTTACTAAAATAACTTTTCTCATTTTACTTAACAACACACTTGGTTGCCTTTAATGCCACTGATAACATATGCAAAACTTAACTGGATCCGATGTAACTAGGCAATTCTCTAAAAGAAAATTCAACCATACATCCTGTTGCTCAAGGCACTTTTAACAAAAGTATTCCAACTGAATTGGAAGATAAAAATTTTAGCATAACTAAATGATAATCACTCAATGTATTTATACAATAGTCACTTCTTAACAATGTTTAATCCCTGGTTTACACTATCAAATATACCCAGAAAAGGGGACACACACACACACATACCACAGACAAGCATAACATACATGCTAAGACATGCATATGTATACACACATAGGCATGCACTCATGTAAGGGTTGGACATGGAGATATTTATATTTATATATCCAGATTCACTCTTCTAAAAAAATGATATCAAAGTTACAGTTCGTTAGTCTGAAATTCAACCATCTGCTCCCAGAAAATGTAAGTAAATATAAATGTATATAAAAGCATAAATATAAGGATAAAAAATACCTTTGACATAGTCTTTCAATTGGTCCTCACAACTGTGACAAAAATCACATGACCAACACATAGTCATCACATCTCTATAAAGAGTTCTAGTAAAAATTCTCTGGAGGTTAATCATCAGAAAGATTTTTGCCATACACTATACATGTATCAAAAATTCTTTAAATTAGACACACTGGGTGTGTCTCCTCAATGCAGCTTGGGTCACTAAGGCGTAATTGACCATTACAGGTGGAACCTCACTCTGTGGTGTACCCTTCCAAACCTACCCTCCACGATGTGCCCAAGTCATCTCCACAAACTCCAGATCTGACCATGACAAAGCCCTGGGTCTTCCATGGCTGACTTACCTGAAGGACAGAAGCTGAGCCTTTTGCAGGGCGCACAGACCTGCTGCAGTCCTAACACCTCTTCAGCTGCATTTACTGATCAATGTCCCAGTCAAATCCTGCTCTTTGGCTCTACCAAAGAAGCCACTTCTAGCACCTTTGTTACTTCATACCTCCACTACTTTCCCTCCCCTACTTCTGGGCTTTGTATACCCTTACTATCCCCGTCCAGCCAACAAAACTACCACTTCTTTTTCTCGCCCAGCTTGAGTCACCCCCAGGGAGAGACCCACACTCCTCCTTTCACTCTATCAACCACACAGCAGATAGCCTTCCATCATGGAACTCAGAATTCAATACTTTTTTACCTTTCTGTCTCCCTCTCTCCCTTCAGACTCACTGGGGCAAGGACCAGTGTCTCTTCTGGAATAAAGCACCAGAAAAGCAGTTGCTCAGAAAGTGTATGCTGACTTCTGTGGGCTCTCAAATGATGAATCATGTTCCTGATGAAACATGTGGAAGGAAGGATGGAAGATGTGGAAGGAGAGGAAGAATACAGGAAGAAGAAAGAAATCATGAAAGTGAGAAACTAGAAGAACAGGTAAGAAATTATATAAGCCGATACCTCATTTCCTAAATACAGGGTCAGCCTGGCATACTCAGGACAAGTCTACCAGTTTCAATTTCCCAATTCATTCAAATGTCTAATTCAATCAATTCTTTCTCCCAGGACTCTGAACTTTCAGTGTGGGCTCCCCATTTTGCCTTCCCTTCTCTTCATCCCCTGTGGATCTCACCCAGGGCTCTAGTGCGTAGAAAATCCATGGACTGTGAAGGACAAAGTGTGCTCACAGTAGGTAGGCAAGACTGGGGGACCTAATTTCCACTTAAATGGCATGGAAATGGCTGGGTCTGCCCCCAGTAGACCATTACCATCACTAAACTATCTCCTTGGGCAGCTACAGACCTCATATCACTATCTTAGCATAAAAACCTTTATTCCTTACTGCTTGGCTTTCAAGACCCCAAGCCCCAATCACAATTTAGCCACAGCCACAAATATAGCAGTCCCCTCCCAACAGTCTGGACTATGAATTATTCCCTCCCTCACAGGGGTTTTCACCTCACTTCTCACCACAAACAGCCCCTCCTTCCTGCTTCAAAACCCAACCTCCCAATCCCTGCCCAGATTCCACCTCCTCCATGAAGCTTTCTTTGACCACTGGAAACCTCAGCAATCCTACTTCTTTCCTACTTTCCAGAGATCTTCCATTATACTTCTCACATAGTGTTTATCATCTACTGTTTATCATCTAGCTGTTGTGTGGTGTGAATAAAGCACTTTTGTGTGGATAGGCACTGGGTTCTGTGACAGAACACCTACCACCACACAGAAGTTTTCAAATAAATTATCCCTTTTAACTTACCTAGTATAGTGAGTGTCTGCTTCACAACTGGGTACTCTGTACCACCACTGTTCAGTTAGGCAACTAATTCCTAATTCTTTGAAGTGTGTTTTATACTTCTCTGTATCCTTTGAAAACCACCATATAAGATGTCTACCATTGCATACCCACACAAACACACTGGTTTGCTGAGATTACTAATTGTTCATTTAACCTATAGGACAGTGTATTTGTTTCAGACATAATGAGTATAACAAACAGTTCTGCTAACATTAAGAAACCATGAATCACTAACAAACTAGTAACATACTAATTAGATATTTACTAATTAGATATTTTGTTTAAAATTAGCATCTTTTATGAATTGGAGGGGGGAAAGATCTAATCTGAAGGCCAAGGAAAACAGAATAATACTTCTAAGCACATCTTTGGGTGGTTTACTCAAAGAATAGACCTAAAATGATATTATCTTGGTGGCTGTAATTTACATACATTATCTTTAACTGAATAGTATCAGGCTGACATTTCGAACTGTCAGTAGGTGAAACTATTTTTCAATTGGTACTAGATCCATTTCTCTGATTTAGGCTTTCTCTATGAACTGGTCTCTGTATTGCTCATTTCAACATATGTTCAGACCATTAGTCCATCAGAAATGTTTTTTTTTTTTCATCAGAAATGTTTACCAGCACTACTCAAAGGGTAACTCCCATTTCTCCAATAATCCCCAAGGTCCCCCTAATTTCTTTCAGGAAACCATCAAGGGCAGTCTCACCACGCCAAGGGTCACCAAGAGGAGCCCCATTTCCAGGTCGAGGCCACGCTCAGGCAGGTCAGTCCTGAAACAGCACAGACCTTAGCTCCCTTCCCCTGCTGGAGGCTGTGTGTGAAGTCACCCTGCCCTCCTTTGGATATATTTCCTCTTCTTCCTGCTGTTTCACTCTGTCATCTCACATGAAGATTCAGGCTCAAGTCCCCAAAGATTAGTTTTCTGACAGACACTCTAAATTGCCCTTCCTTCTTTTACGAGCATAAGCAAGTTATACTTTCAATAGTCACTAAAGTGTTGAAAGCTGAGTGAAAAGAAAAACTGACCAATAAACAAAACTGTATCGCTCATGACAGCTACCATTATCAAGCACTTATAATCTCATGCTAAGATCCTGTGATCGAAATTCTCTTACTAACACTTCCATTTTACTGATGAGGAAACTAAGGCTTAGAGGGATTAATTTTCTTAAGCAAGGTCAATGACAGACTGGTACCCAAGCCCAGATCTGAGTCTAGAGCCCAAGGTGTGCTCTCCAGCCCCATATCCCAATCCTGTTTCCTCATCAGTCACACCAAGATGCCAAGAGGAAGGAAGTGACAGAGGCTACCAAGCTCTTCCCTCCCAAGGACAAACCCACACCATTTACAATGATCACTGCAATCACTGCAGAGTGAGCCAACTTTTGGAAGTAAAAGTTTTCTGCCTGCTAACAGGCCAAAGTCCAGTATTCACACAGAATACTTCTCCCAGCTACCCTTCTTACATTACCCACTTTTAAAATTCACAATTGAAAAAAAATCACTAATCTTTGAAACTAAAGTAATAGTATATACCAGGCAAATGACAATGACATTTTAAATAAAGTGCAATTACAAAACACAAAGCCATCAAATCACTACTCAAAACTTTTCTTTGGTTCTTGTTACAAAAAGCTTCATGAATAAAAAAGTGCCTAAATTATATTTCACAAAACTCAATATTTCTGA